TTATCCCGTGTTTTAGGACCCATTACCTGCGACTGCAGCTGTGCTTTCTGACACTGGGCAGTATGTTTCGCTCCATGATGCCTTGGTAGTCTTGAGACTTCATTGTGTCCAGATGCAGCAAAACAGCCCCAAATCAAAACAAAAAAAAAGCCCCCCCCATGTTTCACAGTAGGTATGGTGTTCTTCTCTTTTAAAGCTTCATTTTTCCTTCTGTAGACGTAAAGCTGATGTGACTGGCCGAAAAGCTCCAGTTTTGTCTCATCAGTCCAAAGGACATTCTCCCAGAAACTTTGGGGCTTGTCAACATGCATTTAGTGAATTGCACTCTGGTTTTTTTATGTTTTTCTGTCAATAGTGGAGCCTCCTGGGTCTTCTTCCATGGAGCCCATTATTGTTAAAAATGCAACGGATGGTATGATCAGAAGGTGACGTACCTTGACCTTGGAGCTCAGCTTGAATGGTTTTGGATGGTTTCCTTGGCTCTTTTTCTACCATCCACACTATCCTTCTGATCAACCTGGGGTTACACGTCCACTGGCGTCCAACGTCCTGCGTGGTTGTCTACCATCCCATGAACCTTATACTTTTTAATAATATTGCAACTGTGGTCACAGGAACATGAAGCTGCTTGGAGATGGTCTTATAGCCTTTACCTTTAACATGGTTATCTCTAATCTTCTTTCTGAGCTCCTCAGACAGCTCTCTCCTTTGCTTTCTCTGGTCCATGTTCAATATGATGCACACAATGATACCAAACAACACAGAAGCATGTTCTTTCCCTTTAAATAGGCTGAATGGCTGATGAAAAGCTTGAAGGCACCTGTGATACTAATTATGGTTTGAAACATGACCATAATGCAAGGATAAATCTGTCCATACTATTTTAGAATATCTTTGTAAAATAAATAACAAATAATTTTTCACAATTTTATTGGTTTACTCTATCACATACTAAGGGCATGCTTAGACAATTGCTATTAATTGAATCACTTTTCAGGAGAAATTAAGCATTGTTTCAATGAGTTGTAAGGGTACCAACAAATTTTTCCATATCTATATATCTCAGTGGGATCACATGACTTGAAATGGACACTGCTGATTGGTTTGAGTGACCATATACCCATAATCCCTTGAAACTGATGAGTACTGGATTCCGGTTCTGGGGAGTATTCATCACTTGTTTGGAATAGAGAATGCAAGTCTGATGTTGTAGGGGGTTTGTTAGCATTTTCAAACATCCGGTTCCCTCAAAAAAAGCCTATGAGGAAAGTGAATAGGTTTCAGAAAATTGGCAGAAACGGTGTCTGTGGTTAAAATGAGTATTAACAAATCTTCACATTTTGTTGTATGAGATAAATCCTTTGTTACTTACTGGTTGACAACATGAACATTGTGAATCACATGATCAGTTATATCATTTAAATGTGAGCATCCATGATTAATGTGTGTTGTGTGAAACCCTTTACATGTTTACCTGGCTATGTAAGTACATCATGTTTCACAATATTTTATTTGGAGCAAACTGGATATCAGAAATGCAAGAGTGTTTTCATGTGTTTTAATGTGTTATTTTAAATTATAATCCCAGATGTCAAAAATAAATGTGATGACCTACAGCCACAAAGTTTGTCATACCATTATGAAATAGGAAACAGCATTTCTTTGACATAATCCTCCAAAAATTCCTGACATGGTGTATAAATTCCCCAAAGCATATCTCTATACATTTCCTGTTTGCCAGGCTTTCCCTTATAATGCATTCCCTGTAGTAATTTGATGTTAACACTTTCTCTGGAACATTAAATGGAATCGATGTCATCTCCCTAAAAGCATTTATACATGCTATCTTTTCAGGTTGCACTCTTCCTGAACATGTATATATTTCCTTGCTAGGTATATAGGTGCATACAATGCGGTCAGTATTGTGATTCCAGTTTAATCATAAAAAAGAAAAAAGTTTTTGGAATTTTACAATTGTGGTCTAATTTGAAAACTTGAGATTGAAATATTTTAAGCAGTCAACTAAGCAAACTTTTATACTTTGTGTCCAGAATCTTTTAAAGTGGGCATATATTGTATTGAAAAAGCAACTGCATTTTATCATTCTATTGCATCCAGATGATATGCTAAATAAATGCTGTGGTTTTGAATGGTCACATGACCTCTCGCTTGCCCAACTTATTTGCAGAAACCTTGTGGCCTAGTTTGTATTTACTGGGGAGGGATATGCAATTATTGACATGCAGAGATATTCGTAGATTACAAAATGTAACTTTCAAACATGCTGGTTCCATTTTGTTTGATGAAGAGACTAGTAAAGTGACTAGATCTAAAGCAGAGTAACAAGTCTCTAAAATGAAATTTCTTATCAGGGTTCTTACACACGTTCTATTTTAAAATGCCATGTTTTTCCAAACTGTACGGGGGGTAGAGACAGTAAAAGTTGCCGAGAGGGGTGGAGGTTGGTGCCACCAGAGGCAACTGGCCATCTTACCAGGGTCCACCGTTGGCTGCCACTAGACAGCAATGCTTCCGCTTGCCCATGTTCGAAATGGTGAACAACTTTACACAATAGGCCTACTTTGCATTTTGCTTTCTGTTCATATTTGGGATACTTAGCCAGCTAGCTGCGATATTTGGGACTGGCAAGCCCAGCAGGTGGAAGCTTGCATTTCCCCATTGTGAGCACTCTAAGTTTCAAGGTGGCCTACATCAATATTTCCTCCTGAAGATTAATTAAGCACGTATGCCACAGAAACACCCCCAACTTCATCGTTTGGGACGTTGCTTTTTAATTTTCACCCTGTGCACATTCTGGTGCTAACAAGCAGCTCACACTGGTGATTCTGATGATCACAAAAATCAATAAGTAAATGCAGATATTCTATACAGAATATATAGCTGGCCTATTAGGGCGTTTTTCCACCGCACCAGGTACCGTACTTTTGGTACTTTCGGTACTTCCATGAAGTGCCGAAAGTTTGGTACTTCTTTCATGTCGGTTTTCCACTGGCGTAAAAAATGGTACCGGTGCCAAATGACATCATCAGTGACCGCCCCTGACTGACAGCCCAAAATTAAAACTAACAGTTGAGGCTGGAAAATGCGGTTTATTGTTATGAGAGCTTCTATCACAGTATAAGATTTAGTAAAATCCTAATCATGCTGCCATCAATTACATTTACGTAGGTACACTTACTTTGGCTAAGCTGATCAAAGCAGTAAGAATTAACTTACTGCTAATTCAGTCTTTTGAAAGCAAACAAATTATTTTATTATGTTTTTTGATTTTCAATCGGCATTGTTCGGTGTTTCGCGTGTGCCCCATTTCTTCCAAGTGGCTTGGTATTACGGTGTTCCGAGCAATTCAGTTTCCCTATGTTTCTCCTGTCTATCAGGAAATAATGTTTCCCCTAATATTAAAGCAAAGAGGTATGTGAAATGTCTGAAAATCACTCAGGTACATTATTACATGTGAATACAGTAGATCGTCACGCATAATATAGTCTTATAAGCAATACTATACCGTTTTCATCAAGAAATATCTCTATCCAGAGAATTAAGTAATTTCATTTATTATCTGTAAAAATAAAAAACATAGAAAAGGGATGTGATGTTTTAAAATTAATATATGGCCTGTTTACCTCAAGAGCTTCGTAAAAAGACATGAAAACAACAGCTAAATTGTAAAAATCAGCGCGCGACAGGGGAAACATATAGGGAAACTGAATTGCCGGGAACGGCAAAAACTTTTTTATTTCGAGTCGTGCCATCCAAATCCCACTGGATCTGTTCATCCGACCATATGGCGATTAAAGCCTGCGTTTCCTCGTTTGTCCATCCTTCCATTTTACTTTTTTATATTTTTGTTTCTACTGCTTTTTATTTTGTTTCTCGCTGTGATCGCTCTGTTCGCTGTGTGTTTCAAAAGATGTTGGTTGTATTTTGTGTTTCAGCGGCAGGCTATTTGCATAACCAATCGACAGCAAATACGTTTGCAAGTCCCACCCCAAAGTACCGAAGTACCAAAGGAGTACCCCAACTGGTTTGGCACTTTCGGTACTCGAGATTTCGGTACTGGTACTCGACCGGAAGTCAATGGAAAAGCGAAAGTACCGAAAGTACCGTACCGAAAGTACCGTACTTTGTGCGGTGGAAAAGTCACTCTGCTATTAGTTGCAATAGTCAGGAAATATCAAAATATTTTCATTTTTTCCCCGTCATCTAAAAATAATGCTTTATATGTAGATATCTATACGCATATTATTATTCAAAATAAGCTTCTGAAACAAACTCTGTGAAGATGAAGAACCACTAATACCCTTGCTTTGCCTTACAAATGATTCTGTAAACATAACTGAAGTACTCAATCTAATTCCACCGAAAATAAACATGCAGTCTTAGCCAGTCAAAGCAAATGCTTAAAGCTATTTATCTGGGGAGTAAGGGTATATTGGATCAGAAAAAAATACATTAGAACATATGCCAATTAACAACAGCACAACAAAATCTAACAATAATTTCTTCTGTTCTCTAAAAACTTACTGATATCTTGTTGGATGGCTAGATGATCACCGTTTCAGTTCCCAAACCTCTCCTCAGGGGCACCCCAGCCATTCCATGTATTTGTTTAATTTTCACCACCAGCTTCATTAGTTAAATAACTCAGGGAGGTATTAATTAGCTACACAAGGTGGGGGAGTGGTCAAGTCAAAAAATACACTGGTGTATTGGATGGTTGTGGCAAATACTTTTGAAATGGCTAAGCTGACACACTTTGACAGGCATAGTGTCATGAACATAAAGATCATTTAAACATTTCATTTGAGTGCTGAATAGTACTATAGGTGTGCACATAAATTCCAATGTCCTGAATAGCTAAAGATAATTACACCAATTATCATAAACAGATAAATGGCTCTTAGCTTCATGAAAAAATAAACTAGTACTATAAGATTGTCTAAGGCCAGTAACATTTCAAATAATTTATGGGCTTCATATGTGTTTATTCAATACCACCATGTTTATTGCAGATTAATATCTTCAAAATCGATATATCCACCCATTCATCCATCCATCACCACATATCCATACAGGGCTGTGGTGAATCTGGAGCCTATCAGAGGAAGCAGAGGTAATGAAGCAGGACGCCCATTGGATGGGGCTCCAGGCCACCACAGCCGACCACAGCCCACAGGCACATACACCGGGGGAGGGGGGGGGGGCAATGAGCAGCACAAGCCACTTCACATGCAGAAGCTGTCAATCACTTAGTTCCTCTATAGACTCATGTAGCAGATATGGAGGAAAGAATTAATCCCTTTACTACCTGGCAGAACGCACAGTAATATAGCCAGCTAATTCATCCAATGGAAACAGGTTACCCCATCAAGTTACAGTACTGCGAAATGGTAAACCGTAGTCAAGAAGAAAGTAAAATTCTCCCTTATCACCATTGTGAACCACAAAAAAACACTAATATTATTACTTATGACAACTACATGTTAAATATGACAGCAGTAAATAGGAGAAAGAACTTAAAATGAACTATGAATGAATACTTCAAAGCAATTCATACGTTAAAAACAGACATTATTTCTTAAGTATGCATGTAGTCATTTTGAGAATTCAGACATCGGTTACAGAGCCTGTAATTACAGTGAATATAAGAAGTCTGCACACCCCTGCTAAAATGGCAGGTGTTCGTACGTAAGAAAATGAAACCAAGATAAATCAAGTCAGAACTTATCCCACCTTTATTTAAAAATTTCAATCTACACCAAACACCAGGCTGCATAAATGTGCACACCCTTTAATAATGGGCTGTGGGGAGGGGTAGCGAGATGAAAGCCTTTAATCAAAAAGAAAAACATCCTCGTCCAGTGAAACCTTGCAAAAAGGTATATCCACTCTCCCACAACTATGTGTAAAAATGCATTATGATCTGATGATGTGATGTGGCCATCATTTCAAAAGGTAAGTTTGGCGCAAAAATAACAGCACATCATCAAAAGACCACCACAGCCACAGTGAAGCATGATGGAGGTAGTATTGTGCTTTAGGGCTGTTTTTCTTCAGCTGGAACTGTGCCTTTCTTCAAGGTGAATGGAATCAGGAATAGCTCCAAAAGTCAGTCTATTCTGGTACAAAGCATTCAAGCATTTGCTAGGAAGCTGAAGATGAAGAATTTCACCTTTCAGCATAACAACCCAAAGCATACCTCCAAATCAACAAAACAATGGCCTCACCAATTAGGATCAATGTTATGGAATGGCCCAGCCAGATATCAGACCTTAATTCAATTGAAAATCTGTGGGGTGACCTGAAGAGAGCTGTACAAAGGAGATGCCCTTGCAATTTCACAGATCTAGAGTGGGCAGAAATTGCCAAGTCCAGATGTGCCAACCTGACTCTTGCCCAAAAAGGCAGAGTGCTGTAATAAAATCAAAAGGTGCTTCAACTAAGTATTAGTTTAGGGGTGTGCACACTAAAGCAACCAGGATTTGGAATGATTTTTTCCACAGTCTGGTGTGTTTTCAACTTCTTTGTATAGGTTGCAATTTTGCAATAAAGATGGAATAAGTGATTTGTCTTGGTTTCATCTTTAAAATCACACAAAAACCTGCCATTTTGGCAGGAGAGTGTACACTTTTTATATCCAGTGTAACTTTAATGCTTTAGCAGACGTACACTCACGGAGCACTTTATTAGGAACATTATACTAATACTTGGTAGGGGCTCATTTTGGTCTCAAAACAGCCTCTTTGTGGCATGGATTCCACAAGATGTTGGAAACATTCCTTTGAGATTCTGGTCCATGTTAACATGATTGTATCACACAATTTCTTGTCAGCTGTGCATCCCTGCTGCAAATCTCCTGATCTGTCACATCCCAAAGATCTGGATTCAGATCCGGTGACTGGGAAGGCCACTGAAGATCACTGAACTGCTTGTCACGTTCATGAAACCAGTTTGAAACAGATTTTGCTTTTTACATGGTGCGTCACCATGCTGGAATTAGCCTTTAGAAGACGACCATGTGGCCATGAAGGGAGCACATGGTCAGCGGCAATATTCAGATAGGCTGTGGCATTCAAGTGATGAACAACTGGTATTACCGAGCTCAAAGCGTGCCAAGAAAACATTCCCCACACCATTACTGTACACCACCACCACCAGCCCCGACTGTTGACACGAGGCTGGGTGGATCCATGAATGCTGACGCCAAATTCTGGCCGTGCCATCTGTGTGCCACAGCACAATTCGAGATTCATATGACCTAGCTATGTTTTTTTGAGTCTTCCACTGACCGGTTTTGCCGATGCCTGTGCCCCATCTGCCTCAAGGTTCAAAGCGTTGCACTTTTCTGCTCACCACAGTTATACATAGTGGTTTCTTTTGCACTTATATCGCACAGCACAATCATTGTAGGCAAGTCACTTATGTAAATATTATGTACAACTGAATATATTTCATATATTTTTTATTATCTTCATATTATATATTTTGCCCTTTTTCCATGTTCTTATTCTCTTATTATGCACAGCTGCTTGGAGTGACCAAGGTTACATTTCACTACATGTTGTATGTGTACAACTGTGTATGTGACAAATAAACCTCTTGAATCTTGAATCTTATCAGAGTTCCTTTAGCCTTTCTGTTAGCTTGAACCAGTCTGGCCATTCTTCGCTAAGATTTATCATCCATATTGCGTTTCCATCCACAGAGCGGCAGTGTTCGTCACACCATTCTGAGTAAACTAGAGATTATTGTGTGCAAAAACCCTAGACGATCAGCAGTTACAGAAATACTCAAAACAGCTGTCTGGCACCAACAATCAAGCCACGGTCAAAATCACAGAGAACACATTCTTCCCCATTCTGGTGTTTGATGTGAACATTAACTGAAGCTCTTGACTTGTATCTGCATGATGTTATGCTCTGCGCTGCTGCCACATGATTGGCTCATTAGATAACAGCATGAAAAAACAGGTGCATAGTTGTTCCCATTAAAGTGCTCAGTGAGTGTACGTCCACATGCTTTTATAGCTGTACACTGACAGACTAAAACACATACATTCAGCTGAATGAACTTCCTCAGGCTGCTCTACTATACAGAAGGACTTTGATTCCAGTTCTTCAGTATAACTTCTGCTGCATCCAGAGTGCTGTCTTGCTGCAAAAGTGGAAATATCTATGTAGGAAACTGTGGCATTAAAACAGAACAGCTTTTCAAGATTGACATTCTGCCTTATATAAGTCTTGACATGTGATAGAAATTGTATAATGTAATATTTTACATCCTATTGGTTCTCGTTTAATTCATTAATCATTATCATGCTTTTGATAACTACAGAAGCCATTTCAAAGTCATTCATTCATTCATTCATTCATTCATTCATTCATTCCTCAGCAATGTACAATGGACAAAACAGGGTCAAGGTTAAGGGCCTTCCTCAAGGGATCGATGGTAAAATCTCTCTGCCGACTACGAGATTTGAATTAGTGATCTTCTGATCGTGGGCACAGGGTCCTAACCCCAAGAGTGGGAGAATCTTATCTGGACAGTCAGTACAAATTGGCAAACTTCTCTGGGAAAAAAAACACTCACCAAGGATGCCATTTCCTTACAACTCTTTTGCAGAACATATTTCAGTCAGTTCAAATGTTACCTTGATGAAGCACAGACGAATATATTTCTCAAACTGCCTCTTGGACGCCTCCCCACAAAACGCTGTCACAGGAATGGAAGCCAATTTCTAGATAAGAAAAGAAGGTTTGTAAAGATTTTATATTACTAAAGCCAGTACCAAGGACAAAATTTACAGAACAGAATACAAAAAAACAATGCTGTGTACCTTCTCACTGATCATCCACTTCACAAACTTATAGTCATATGCCTCATCGTCACCCATGTGTGACAAGTCTTGGTCTGTTTCCAAAGAAAACAGAATGGAGTATTTATCACAAGAATTAAGGTATTCCAAAGAAAACAGAATGGAGTATTTATCACAAGAATTAAGGTATTCCAAAGAAAACAGAATGGAGTATTTATCACAAGAATTAAGGTATTCCATTAAATGCTTCATGCACATTGCCCAAAGGACTATATTGGTAAAATGGATCTTCACAATTTCCCTGTAATATGTAAACAGCCTAGTGAAAGTAACAATTATCAAAACATTACCCATTTACAGCAGCAACACAAAATACTTGTCCCAGAGCATCATCATGAACAGTAATGCACACTTTTAAATACTGAACAGCATGTTAACAGACAGTTAAATGTGTTTTTAATAACAGTTTTTTGCCTTTTCATGGCAATTGATCATGAGCTCCCTGCCAAAAACCCCTCAGTTCAATTCAGCTGGCCCTAATTATTCTGATTGTTTTGGCATGTCAGACATTCTAAATTAGTATTTACTGAGCAGTAAACTGAGAAGAACAAATGTGAAAATATTCAGGGCTGAAAAACAGACACTCAAACTCATCACCCATGCAAACTGAAGAGCAAACGTCACTCACCCACATGTAACATTTTTGAGAAAATCAACTTGAACATTTAATATTAATTTTCTTTGTTCAACAAATTCATCATCCTCCATTTCTGTTTACTAAATCTGCATTGGTATAGTTCTCAAATAAGCACCATTTCTGTGACTGGGTGAATTCTGTAAAAATCACACTTCAAATAATTCTATGTACTGTAATTTCACAAAAAGACCATATAATGCTGTCAAATGCAACTTGCAACTCAAAACTGTAATAAATTGTATTTTTTATACAAGAACTACAGCAAAAAGTAAAAAAAAAAAATTGACATTGTAATAACAAAAATGTGGTATTTGGTAATTATTTCAATTCTGATTCTGCTAAGCAGGAAGTCAGTTCCTTCAGCTGTAAAACTCCTTTAATGATTCATTTATGATGATGATTATTATTATTGTTGTTAAATTAAATCCACCTTTGAATCGCTTATGCAGGACAGCAATATTATTACTTTACTACAAAGTACAGTACTTTTCTATATGATAGTTATTTGTATCTAGAGCACTGATATTTTGCAGGCGGCACAGCAAATCCAACACTGGAACACCATGGCCAATAAAAATGAATGGTTTGGGTAATGAAATATTACAAAATATGAATATTCAAACAAATCATTGAACAACCACCAAAAACTATTCATACTTAATGCAGTGACATCCACAATCATGAAGTAGCCTCCGTCGGGGATGACGGGAGACATGCCTGCAGTCCTCACGATGGCAGCCATGCGGTCTCTCTTTCCCTCCAGCTCCATGGCCAAAGAGGAAAAGTAACAGTCAGGGGTTCCCATGAGCTTAGATTCCCGGAGAAACCCCTGAGCCACCGCCTCCTACAGGGCAAACAGAAGAATGACACTTCTTTAAAGGGGCAAGTCAATCACGGTTAAATTCAGATATACAGAACCTTACAGTTCTACTTAGGCTATTCAACACTTAATGCAACACCGACAACAAATATAAGAATATACCTGTAAAGGAGTGGGACAGGTGTACAGGGTATTCTGCATCACTGTTTGAAGGTGTTTAATCAAATGATCAGGGCCAATAGACCAACCGAGCTAGAAACAAAAAAATGTATACAAATTAGTTGCATATAGTCTCATAATGATTTAAAGGAAAATTTTACAAAAAGTACAATAAACAAACAAGTTTAATTATGGTTGAGATTAATACTTAAACCCATGTGATGGGAAAAATAACAAAGTTCCATAATAAACATTAAATGGACTACGGACCCCAAGTTTAAATGGACTTCATCTTCATTCACTTACATTTAGCCCAGATCACTATAAGTCCGACAAGTTATCCAGCTAAGAAAGAAATCCTGCTTCATGATACAGGCCCCCAGTTGTATTTCCCAGGGTTCTAATTGACAGAGCTATAGACCAATAAAGAGCTGAGTCCCCCCTAACTAGTTCCAGGAAAGCAGCGCCATTTTTGTCCCCAAGTGGCTTCAGAGGGCAAAATGTCAGCATCGGCCAGTTGTGAAAGAGCTCTCTGACAAAAACACTTATATTTTGCACTCGGAATATCATAGAAAGAACATTTTAACGCAGATTTATTCCAGAGACACTAGAGAATCCAAAGATTCCCAACTGGGTAGGTCCTGAATAACCCCTGGTAATCACTGTAGTCTGTCAGATGGGACTTCAGTGTTAAACAGGTCATGCTTTTAAGGGTTTCAGAGCCAAAAACCAAACCAAAGCTAAATTCATTTAGTAAAAGTTAGCAGTCAGCGGATTTTGTTAGCTTACACATTTTTTTTTTGTGGTTTATTGATTTAGCGGATTAGTTTTTATCAAAGCTACCTTTTCGGTTAGCTGTGCCCAGTGCTGTTTATGACACAGTAAAACTGTTTTTGTAAAACTTAACCTCCCCCCCGAGCTCAGCAATTTTATCACAAGATTTCAAAATCCCAGAACTGTACAGCAAACAAAAATGTTTTTGGAAACACTGTATACCACAGTATAATGTCCAGACAGTTTGAAGGCATGCAAAGGCCTGATGTCAACCCAGCTGACTGCCCAGCCCTACACATCACCCAGCCCTATGAGAGGAACTTGACCCTAAAGGTGAGCGGAATTTAAGTAGCTATAACTTAAATGTACTCCATTATTAATGCACATTCTTCCTCTGATGCATTTTGTCCATTAACCTCTGAGCATTGTAGGTTAATCTGTATTGATCTAGTTTTATACTAAAATGACTGATTGCCAAATTACCCAGAAGTGGGAATTTAACCTCTTCATAAAAACTGTCCCATAACAGTGAGACCACCAGTATCCAACATACAATTACAGCAGTAAGCACACTCATTTAGAACAGGTAATTCTGAGTGCTGTGCTGAGTCATCCAAAAATTCATGATACTAATTCTAATACTTAGTTACTTCTAGTACTTACTAGTTACTTATTTGATCCTGCTTGTGAATTAATTTCACAGGAGATCGTGGATTTTGAACTACACCCAGCTACACTTTTTGTATACTTGATGATTATTATTGATAAAGAGCTAGAGGCAATCAAATTACTTTGCATTTCTCAGTGGGTCAGATGATCCCTTATAACAGCCTGATTGCATCATGATTGTTGCTCATTTGTGTTCGCAATGTATCATTATCTACAGATAGTTCTGTGGTTCAATTACATTTTAGGCCAGGGCTCTTCAAATCTTAACCTCGATTCAAAATCCAGGCCTTGTTTTCAGTTCTCCCAGGTAGTTAGTTTAATAATTACTGATTCTGATTGGCTACAGAGGCTTCACACCCGGTTCATAGTGAAGGAAGGCTGAAAAATCAGCAGTGCTCTGCCTTTTTTTATAGTATACTATTGTGAAAATGTAGGCAGACGTGTCTAAAGCTAAAGGTTCTTCAAAGAATACAGATCAAAAGCCTTTTGTTGTCTCTTAGGTCTCCATAAGATTTGTTCATACTGTCTCATGTGTCCCATGGAAATGGGGCAAAGAGAGAATTTCCCCATGAGAATGAATAAATTATCACTATTCTACTTATTCAATTCTGTGTTTTGCATGCATCTATATATTACATTATCAACCATATCTAATAAAGACATAGGCACAAATCCCTGTTTTCCCTGAAGCCAAAAATGCCTTTATGCAAATATGCAAAATTTTCCGCACTAACCTTCCATCCCGTGACACTGAAGGTCTTCCCAGCGCTGCCAATCGTAACTGTTCTGTCCCACATCCCAGGCAGAGTAGCTGTCAATATAGAAGGCCAGATGAACCGTTATATATTCTGAGACAGGAAGAGAAAAGCTGTAGTGTAGGTATACTTCAAAGCATAAAAATACCTATTTTTGTGTGGGTGTGGCCCTTGTACACCAGCCATTCATAGACTTCATCACTGAAGCACAGTGTGTCATACTTGATGCATAAATCACTGATCATATGCAGCTCTTCTTTAGTGAATACCTAACAGAGGGACAAGATGAAAGACTTGCCCATATACATTTATAATTTCCTCATATATACTGCTCAAAAAAATTAAAGGAACACTTTTTAATCAGAGTATAGCATCGAGTCAATTAAACTTCTGGGCTATTGATCTGGTCAGTTAAGTAGCAGAGGGGGTTGTTAATAAGTTTCAGCTGCTTTGGTGTTAATGAAATTAACACAGGTGCACTAGAGGGGCAACAATGAGATGACCCCCCAAACAGGAATGGTTTAACAGGGGGAGGCCACTGACATTTTTCCATCCTCATCTTTTCTGACTGTTTTTTCACTAGTTTTGCATTTGGCTACAGTCAGTGTCACTACTGGTAGCATGAGGCGATACCTGGACCCTACAGAGGTCGCACAGGTAGTCCAACTCCTCTAGGATGGTGCATCAATACATGCCATTGTCAGAAGGGTTGCTGTGTCTCCCAGCACAGTCTCAAGGGCATGGAGGACATTCCAGGTGACAGGCAGTTACTCTAGCAGAGCTGAACAGGGCTGTCCGCCTGTAAAATTCTTCTTTGACTGCCATTAGGTATCAGGATGAAATCCTTGGACCCATTGTCAGACCCTACGCTGGTGCAGTGGGTCCTGGGTTCCTCCTGGTGCACGACAATGACCGGCCTCATGTGGCGAGAGTATGCAGGCAGTTCCTGGAACATGAAGGAATTGATACCCTTGACTGGCCTCCACACTCGCCTGATCTAAATCCAATAGAACACTATTGGGACATTATGTTTCATCCATCCAAAGCCTCCAGGTTGCACCTCAGACTGTCCAGGAGCTCAGTGATGCCCTGGTCCACATCTGGGAGGAGATCCCCCAGGACACCATCCGTCTTCTCATTAGGAGCAGCCCCGACGTGGTCAGGCATGCATACAAGCACGTGGGGGCCATACGAACTACTGAGTATGATTTTGAGTTGCTGCAATGAATTTTTGGCCAAATGGACGAGCCTGCCACATCATTTTTTCACTTTGATTTTTGGGGTGTCTTTGAATTCAGCCCTCAGTAGGTTGATAATTTTCATTTCCATCAAACCATTACCCAGTCCGTATCATTATAGATATCCAGTATGATTTTTTTTCCCCCATTGAGATCTGATGTGTTTTCAAAGTGTTCCTTTAATTTTTCTTGAGCAGTGTACTTTCTGTAATTATCAGTATTTTACTGTTTATCCATTTGGCACCTGATCACTACATTACAGACAACCATGAAGAATAATGCAGTCACCAATTTGACTTAAAAAACAGTCAAGACCACAAAGATAAAATACGTATGAACAGAAAAACAGAAACTGGACCTATTAAGATTGGACTGGACATATAAACCTAAAGGTGCAAGGGAAACAACAACTGTTAAATTAGCTTTGCAATGGAAATCATGAATATGTTCCTTACCGTCAAAGTCTAAAAGTTACATTATATTCACATGTCTCAGCAGTGAAGCGGCATAAACCAAATACTTTTCACTCACCTTCCCTATAGGATTGTTAGGGGTATTGATTATGATGGCCTTAGTCTTGGAGTTAAATTTACTTGCTAGTTCATCGGGATCCAGCACCCACTGCGCGCTGGTGATGTTTGCTTTGTTTTCCGAGTTCTGAACAGTGGAGAAACACACTTGGAGCTGTAGTCTGTGTCCAGTTTATACTTATGGCATAAATGTACAAACACCAATCATACTTACTAGTCTTAAAGGTACTAGAAGAGGTATCCCTCCAGCCATTCGCACCATAGGTACGTAGCAGTCAAAGAAAGGCTCAATGATTATTACCTACAACAGAGACATGCTGAGTAGAAGGCACAGGCAAATGATGTGACGATAAAAACCTGCAGCATGATGCATCCCTGACCTCATCTCCTTCTTCTACAAGACCTTGTATGGCACTGAACAAAGAGCCATATCCTCCAATAGTGACCAAAATCTCACTAAAGGGGTTGATGTCACGGCCATACACCTTTCCGTAGACCTGAGACAGTGCTTTGACTAGAGATGGGTGTCCCTGAAAAAAAAAACATAAATAAAATTAACCAACAAATAATCTTAGTACATAAATCTGCATGAACGAACACGGACTTAAAACTAAAAATACATGTGTCTGCAGTACCCAAGTACCAAAATAAATGTAAGGATTTAGTCTGAAAATAACATTTGCATTTCTTTAGCAGACGCTTTTGTCCAAAGCGGCGTACTATTGAGAAAGCAAGGTCAGTCAGTCCCTGGAGCAACTGGAGTTGAGGGCCTCGCTCAGGGGCCCAAAGGTAAAATTCTGCCGACCCTGGGATTTAAACCGGTGACCTTTCAGTCACAGGTACAGCATCCTAACCTGCTGAGCCACCACCCCATAATTAACCTGACTATAAGATATCTCACACAGAAGCATAATATTCACTTCCTGCTCATGTCCATCATACAGAAGCATCAGAATGACTCACTGGTCTTACAATAACAAATGATTTGAACTGAAGCAGCTTGGGCAGGATCTTACAAAGCCTCTGGTGTACTGATTCATCCTGTCGACTGCTACTGCTTGTGCCAGGCCTTCTTTTATATAGGAAGGTGGGGGAATATCGGGGTATCCCTGGCCCAAGTTGACAATGGAGGGGTCTGCTGCCACAGAAGTGAGGGCCACCCTGACGACGGATGAATGAGAGGACAGACATGCAAATCCCCAGAATAATAACAGCCAAACATCACTAAGTGATCTGTTGTCAGCATTTTAAATGCTGGCTGAACCAATAATAAATTCACTTTATATCTATACAGTGTCATTCCACCCATTGCTCTGCATTTATAAACACACTAAGCGCACTGTACACACAGAAAAGGAAAAAACATTAATTAGAAGACACCAGTGACCTGCACTACGAAGCAGGGTTGCTGGCTTATCGGGGTATCTTGTCGGATTTAAGGTACCACAGTTTAAATGGACTTCATATTCGTTCACTTACATTTTGCCCAGACTACCTTAAATCCTTCAAGTTACCCCGATAAGGAAGTTACCCTGCTTCGTACTACAGGCCCACAGAAGAGATGTATGAAAACTCCTCAGGTTTGACCAGTAGGGGGACAAATGAAAAAAGGACCACCTCTTGGGGTCAACTGGCCGCCTGCCCCAAGGGTATGCTAACCATACAGTATATAAACATAAACATATAAACATAATTACACTGCAGAACAGCATATATCTCAGGATGGCAACACATATGGTGTTAGAACGCAGCCAAAGATGCTTCTACACTCACCAAATGTTCTTATCCAAACCCTCAATTCTTTTTGAATTTTTATGCCTAAAAGATGCCATGTCACGTTTAGAGGAATGCGTCTGCTGTCCGTAGGTGATCTAATACAAAACATAATAAATGGAATTAATAACCAAATACCAAAGTGAATAATCATTATATTTTTACATTGCATACTTGTAACTTACTCGTAAAGGAGAAACTTGTAAATATCCAGCTAAAGGTAAACGCAGTAGAGGATATTTAGAACAGAAGCATCTAAGTGCAATGTTCTGCACAATGTTCATGTCTGCAAGATAGAAAATTCACATTATTATGTGACGACATGATAAGTGGAATTAACCAGTAAAAAAAATCAAAGTCAAAATTGAGATGCAATTTAAATTGAGTGTAGTTAATATTGCACCTGTGAGGAATACAGAACGCAATGACCTTAACGCTTATTTGTAGTGTCCTAGTTATTAAAAAAAACGTATGCTTTTCGGTTTCAGTATTACAGTTTTAAGATAACATCAGAATGTTACACAGAACAGATTATCGTGTAATTAATTGTGGTTATCTTGTAATTAATTACTTTTAAAGCTTTAAGTACTGAAATTGGATCGCAATCTAGCGCACCTTCCTGACTGTCTTAGGACGCGTGACCCACACCGGAAGAAGGAGCTTGGTATGTCCAGGAACCCCGGAAATGACATCACTGGGTCACGCATATGAAGGCGGACCGCTGCAGTTCATGTGTTTCCTTGTCGGACTGTCGTGTTGGTAGGGCGGATTTATAGTTATGTATGGAAGTCTATGTTATTTATTGCAATGCGGTAATAAATGGTTTTAGACTTTAAAAAGGGGAAGTACTAACGTTCTGATGTGTTGTCAAAATTTATAGTGTAGCAGGTATAAAGTGTACATCATTATATTTAGTATGGTGGAGAGTTACTAGATCGCGGTTATTGTGATCATAAACTGCACTTAAAACTTCCCAGGATTCTCCGAAATTGACCGAATTGAGAATATGTTAAGCGGTAATTAGAAGGCAGTACTTATTAGTAAGTGTCGTTACTCGATTTTTCCCCGGAGTACAGTACTCTGTGGGTTCGATAAATGTAAGATACTAAACGAAATTCTATTTACTTCACCTAATGCCAAAGACACTCAAAACCCACGTTATGGTTGTTTAATTTCAGCACTGCAATATAGTTATCCTTAAAATACCATTATACTTTTGTGTTTAACGAGTTGTCAAAAAACATGCAATGTCTTTCAGAGCAAACTGTCACTCCATGCAAAGCTTTTACTAGTATTTATATTATACATTATGAATGCATGTATTTGTTGGACAATGATAATAGTCTACAGAGAAGAGTCACATACGTTGAAGTCAACTAGTATGAGGGAGTTCATAGTCACTGAAAAGCAGCGTTATGTTAAGCGTAATGTGCAGTGTAAGTCATAATGTAAAGTCCCAAATTATTTGAATTATACACTCACCTAAAGGATTATTAGGAACACCTGTTCAATTTCTCATTAATGCAATTATCTAATCAACCAATCACATGGCAGTTGCTTC